TTTCACAGGGTCAGTATATCCAATTAGAGCTAAAGTTTCTCTAACAGCAGCCTGAAGACTTTCATCATTAGCCTGTCTCAGTCGCAGCAGGCATGGGATTACTTTTTCCTATTGATGAATACAAAGGTATTTCATTCCAACCATATGTTTATAGCAAAAGAATCCATGCTTAAATTTACTAGCTTGGCATTTAAGTATAGAAGTAATATTAGTTAAACTTGAAGGAAAACTTCTTCAAAACCGTATTTACCCATCTTTCTCTCTAAAAATGGAAATAAAGGATGCCAATATTATGTTGTACACACCTCATTGCTAAAAGTAACTACCTATCAAAATTCAGCAGTCAAGGTGAAACACAAATCTTTCGAATAGCTAGAAAAGCTACATTCACCAGGAATTAAGTTTAATTGGCTTAATGTCACATTAGCCAAATACAGATTTGAGTATGTAGCACAACAAGTATAGGTAAAAGCCCGCCCGGATTGTGCTTAAAAAGTATCACATTGCTTCAAAACAAGAAATGCCTTCTAAGTACACTAATAACAAATATTAAAATTCTTCCTCACATGGAGTACTTTTTAAATGTACATTACCACAAATATATAGAGCATTACAATCAAAATGGGAAGAGTGGATATACTCTCTCATAATAAAGTAATTCACATATATTTATGTGGACTCCTGACCTGTACCCTGCCCAAATGATTCATCCTGCCCGCACTCCATTCCCAAAGGCTGCTTTTCCAGAAATTCTACCACCTATGTCACACATTTATCACATCTTGTGGAAAAAGGCACAAGGCTAATAAATGTTGTGATTGAGCTAGTACTTCTAGAACAGTCTACCACCCACCTCCTGTCCTCTCACTGCAGGGAAGAAAATGAGTAGGACTAGATTACATGCACTTATTTGATGGCTATACTTCACCCTTGCCTTCTCTCTTCGAAGGAAGCATGTAAACAAGCATAGAAAGCACTGTGCATATGCAGATCAACTGTACAGTACATTCCTGTCTGGTCAACTGCCTCAGAGGACACAGCGTACGACCTTCCCCTACCACTTGAAAAAAAAAGCTGTACCACCTCCCCACATGACCATGTCGTATGCTTCTAAATTAAACATTGCAATCTTAGGAGCCTTTAGCTAAACTGCTGATAGTTTGCACACGAATCTGCTTGAACCAGCTAAAGAGTTACAAAAAGAGACACTCAAGTTGTAATCTTTACAAATAAGACTAGTCCACAGAAGCAAATAACGAGGTTTTATGTTATTCTATATCAATCATCTGTCAGATATTTAATTTTTATCCAAGCATAAGGACTATTTGCACCTTAATTGCAACTCCTCTGCTCTCTGGAAATTCTAGAAGATGATAGGTCAGTTCTTCAACCCTGCTGATACAGACTCTCCGATTAGTGGATCTTCGTAGGGCTTGAACTAAAGCTCGAGTCCTGTTATCAATACTCACTCTTGCAATAATCTAAAAAAGATAAACAGATAATATAAAACTATTCTAAGAAATGTGTCAGATTTGTCAACACCAATTCCAGTGTGTTATTTTAAGATTTCTCAGAAGGAATGAACAGGATGTTGTACTAGAGATCTGCTACACGTTCCAAGTAAGCATTACTTAAACTGGAAACAGACAACCTTTTGATTCTTAATTAGAAAACTAAATAAAGTCAGCTCACAGCAAGAATACACCAAACAAACCTGTGTCAGCATGTGTACTCAGGTGTATTTTCAGGGCAACTCTGAAATCATGGTATATGAACCATAAACAAACCATGAACTGTGAAATTACTATAACTATAAAACCCCCCACAATTAGATCTGTCTGTATTTATGGAGTCTCTCTACATATACATGAACTAAGTATATGTATATAACACACACACACACACACAAACGTGTGTATATTTATATATATATACATGCTTTATATATAAACTTACATATACATATGTGTACTTCTATAAAAAGTATATACTTATTTTTATACATGTATACAGTATATATACCTATTTTTAAGTACATATATGTATTTGTAAGTTTATATATAGTAGGCATATATATGAAAATTTATACAGTTTTACATATATACTTATTTATCAAAGTACATAGAATAAATCACAGAACAGTTTGGGTTGGAAGGGGCCTTAAACACCCTCTAGTTCCAACCTCCCTGCCATGGACAGGGACACCACATTATGTACTTACATGTAGGTATGCATCTGAATAAAAGTATGTGTACATATGTAAGTACAGACAGAGGTATATACTTATTTACATAAGCATGTATGTATAGGTATGGTTCCATATAGGTATATACACTAGTGTAGTGTGTATATGTACACTTGTATAAAATATACATAGAAATAATACATAAATAATTAACACTAAACAAAGACTTGCCTTTTCTCTCTGAAGAGACAGATGCTTTTCCCTCTCTTCTGCAGTCTTGGCCTCTTTTGATTTGTCGTCATCAGTCTTCTCAGACACTTCTTGTTCTGGCTGTTTACTCTTTTCTGGTGAAACAACTTTTGATTCGGATCTTAACTTGGGAACCAGCCCCCCAATATAGCTGTCTACAAAAGCTTGTACACTGTTACTGGGATACGAAAGAAAGTTTGCAATACTTTTTTTAGTGGAAACTGGAAGGGCAGTATTTGTCTTTTCAGCACCCAGAGTCTCTGCTTCAGGAGCTAAAGTAGCTGCTGAATCCACTGTCTTTTTTTCACTCGTTACAGTATTTTCTGATGAATCAAGCTTATTCCTCTCTTCACTTTTGGAGTCCTGTAATGAAGCATTCCTTTTTTTCTCTTGTTCCATAACAGAATTACTGAAGTAAGAGTTGATATGATCAGCTATGAAGTTGTAAGTCTCTCCAAAATTTGTAGAAAAGTAGCTTATATGAAAAAGGTGGTTTTTAGTAGATGCTGAAACTTCTGGAGAATCTTGACAAGTACCACTTGAACTTACTAACACAGATTCCAAGTTTTCACTTGCACAAGTGGATTTCTTTGCAGCTGGGCCTCCGTTGCAATCCTCCTGAGTTCTGGCATCTGTGACTTTTTTATCATTGCCTAGATTTGCATTGATGTTATTTACACCTGCACTACTTTTATTTGCTTTTCCCAAAGTACCTGAGTGCGACTTTAATCGAGCTATTCGTGACACCAGTTCACTGTGAGTGCCAGACACAGCCTTTGAAACAGATTCTATGGTATTCTTAATTCGTGACATGCGAATGCTCACCTTTGTAAGTCCTTTGGAAGAAGAAGTTAGAAGTTTAGAAATTCTACAGTATAAAAACTCATGACTGTAAATATATTTGCTATACCAAAATGTTCTGCTTCTGGCCCATTTACATCGAGGCTCGCTTGTATGCAAAACTCTCAGGTGTGTGGCATGATTTATCCTCCAGCAGACTTTAGGTCTATGCAAACACAGATATTTGTTTCTTTGTTTCCACCAAAGATTTTTTGGGTTAATAAAAAAGACCAAATATGTGTCCAAAGATAATTGAACTGTCATTACTTATAAATAATTACACCTTTTCTATGTTGCTTTCTACTTCATTCCAGAAAATATATTTCAATAAATAAGTCTCATATTGTAGTGTTATCTGAAAAAGAAAAAAAAAAACAAAACCCAACAAAAAATCAACAATGGAGACCCATATACAGTAACAAGTAAACTAAAAATCACAGAGTGGTTTAAGGCAGATGCAGCTTATTTATGCTTTCTGTAAAGACAGATAAACATTCAAATCAAATAAGCTCATGGGAATATTTACTGCTCAGGACATTTGGTAGTGCCACCCCAACATTTCAACATGCTACTCCCTAAAGGCCAGTTTAAGCCTATCTTAAGCAATGTTACACTTCTCAAAAGCATTTAGTGACATACAGAAAATTGATTGCTGTTTTTTCCTATAGAGAGAAATTTGTCTTTCTTTACGAAATTACCTTGTGCAGAAATCACATTTCAAATGTCATTATATTACAACCCCTTTGCAGAATTCCTCACAGGGGAGGAGGGATGCCAATTCTTTGAGCAAAGTTCCATGGGACATGTCTATCCCAAGAGCCAAGGGCAGTACATAACCCTTGCTCTACAAAGAAAGATGCGACGGGCGGAGCAGCGTTTTACACACCACACCAGAGCTGCGCTGACACTGCAGGTACAAATCCATTACCTGCCCAAATGGCAAGTCCAGGCTTCTCTAGCCCCCGTGACAAGTGCCGAGGACGGCCGCCAGGTAGGCATGCAGGCCAACTTCTGCGCAGGCCGACGCCACAGTGACAGCAGAGGTGACACCGCCTCTGCGACGTAGTTACTTACAGTCTCCTCTGCCTGAGCTGTGCCTGTCCCGCTGGGTCCGCGCCACGCTCCGGGCTGCGGGCCCCGCCGACGGGCCGGGTTATAAAGGCACAGGGGCTCCTCCTGTCCCGGGGGGGGGAGCGGGCGCTGTTCTTGCCTTGCGCCATTTCGCAGAATCGCTGCCGAGAGCGGCCGAGTAAACAAGCACCGCGTCCCGTCCCGTCCCGTCCCCGCTGTCCCCGGCCCACCCCGCGTCACGTATGCCCGGCACGCGCTCACCGTGTTCCCCCCGCCTCCGTTCCCCGCATGACCCGGTGGCGACGCGACACGGCCCTTCCCGGCGGCGGTACCTGCCGGGCAGCGGCTTCCGCCTCCCCCCTCTGCCCCGGCCGCCACAGCCGAGCCCGGTCAGGGCCCGATCGCGGTCCGGGGCCGCGCCCTCACGAGCGGCACCGCCCGGGCGGAGCGGGCGCGAGCGGCCGAACCGGGAACGACAACACTAGCCGCGCGAGACCGCACCACTGCGCCTGCGCCGCCTCGGGTGCCGGAAACAGCTGGGGCGCGCGCCACCGCCTCACGGGCCGCCGCGGGGGGCGGGGCGGTGACGCGAGATCACGGCCGCGGCGGGGCGGGGCTGCTGCGCGTGCGCGCCGGCGGGGACGGGCGTGGCGGGCGGCGACGTGCGGGACAGCACGCGGGGGGGCACCGCCCCGTGACCGTGACGAAATCACGGAATGGGAGGGGCTTGGAACCGACCAAAAGGATCATCCGGTCCCAGCCTCCCTCTCACTAGAACAGCTTGTTCGAAGACCCGTTCCACCTGGCTTTGAACACTGCAAGGGTTGAGGAATCCACAATCTCCCTGGGCAACCTGTTCCAGTGCCTCACCACCCTCGCAGTAAAGAATTTATTGCTAATATCTAACCTCGATTTCCCCTCTTTCAATTTGTACCCACTATTGCTTGTCCTAATACTACAGTTCCTGACGAAGTGTCCCTCTTCAGCTTCCCCTTAGGCCCCTTTCAGGTACTGGAAGCTGCTATGAGGTCTCCACACAACCTATTCTGCAGGATGAACAGCCCCAACTGTCTCAGCCTGTCTTCATAGGGGAGATGTTCCAGTCCTCTTATGAATTTTGTGGCCCTCCTCTAGACTTGGTCCAGCAGTTCTATGTCCTTCTTGTATTGGGGACCCCAGAGCTGGATGCAGCACTCCAGGTGGGGTCTCACAAGAGCAGAGTAAAGGGGCAGAATCCCCTTCCTCGACCTGCTGGCCCCACTGCTTTTGATGCAGCCCAGGATTTGTTTGGCTTTCTGGTTGGGCACAGTGGAGCTCATTGTGTCCCATGCTGCTGGTGGTGTTGGGATCTCGGTGCTGTCCCCTGCCAGAGGCGCTGGGAGTGAGGGGCTGGGAGAAGGAGAAGAGCCCCTACCCAACCTCTGTGGCCACTTGGTGCAGGTGCTGTGGGAATATTTTGTGGCGTTTCCTACTTAACTCTTGGGCAAGGATGACAGAGTGGTTTTCATGCTTTCATAGGCTTAGTGGGCACCTTGCTCTTTTACAGCTAGGCTTCAAAGCAGCAGCAAAACCATGAGCTTCCTGTCTGCACAGGCTGTCTGAAACACAATTTTAGTGAAGTTGCAAAAACTTCGGGTGATGATGGCAAGGGAGCATGGATGTGCTGTGTGTGTGGGTGGAGTGATAGGATCCTTGCCCTGAGTGTTAGGAGGGTCACATCCCATTTGCAGTTTCAGATATCAGTTTTGTGCTTCTGTTCTTTCTCACAAATAAAAAAGTAAAATTAGTTTTCTTAGCTTGCATTTTATTCCCCACGGGAAAATTTATATTTATTACATGCTGTAATTAATATAATGTATTTTTTTATAAATTGAACAGGTTAAACTCTACACATCTCCCACTGCAGGACATCCCTGGCTAGATGCCAGATGCTCACTGAAGCTGCACTGTTACTTCCTTCCTCAGCTGGACACGGGAGAGAAAACAGAACAAAAGGCTCATGAGTTGGGATAAGGACAAGGAGAGATCACTCACCAATGTGGTAGTTTGGGCTAGGCCTTCCTTGGTGACCAGTTTGTAACCAAGGAAGGGCCCAGATTTACCCAGTATTCCCTACGATTTTTATGTAAGCCAGACTATAAGAAGAAAGGAGGAGAGGCCTTTGCTCTCTTTCCTTCTGGCGGCTTGGAGGTGCAGGTTCCCTGCTGCTGAGTCTGCCGTGTTGGGGAGCGAGGCCTGGTAAGGCCTTGTCGACCTTGGGAGGCAGAGGTTGCCGGTGATCGTCCCAGAGCAACTCTCGATTGTCCCAAGGAGAGTGGTGGGATATTTCTTTGCTAACTCTTTTAGTTGCTAGATATTGGGCTACTAATCAGGATATATATATATTTTATTTTGGTTTTGTTCCTTTTTCCCTTCCCCCTTCCCTTTCCCTTGTGAAATTGTATATATATTTTAATTGTATATAACTGTAACATAAGTGTAAATATATTTATATATCTGTTGCTATAGCTGTCTCTCTCGTTTCGGTTTTTCTTGGTTGTTTTTCTCCCTCTTCTCCCTGAGGTCTGGGGGGGGGGGGTGGAACTCTTGTGGTAAGGTTTGGAGACTTGGCAGGGAGCCAGCTTCAAACCATATCAACCAATTACCATCATGGGCAAAACAGGCTTGACTTGGGGAACTTAGTTTAATATAATACCAATTAAATCAGAGTAGGGTAATGAGAAATAAAACCAAGTCTTAAAACACCCACTCTCCAACTCTCTTTCTTCCCAGGCCCAACTTTACTCCCAGTGGTACAGGGAGGCGAGGTATGGGGGCTGCAGTCAGTTTGTCACATGCTGTCTCTGCTGCTCTTTGCTCCTCAGGGGGAGGACTCCTAACACTCTTCTCGTGCTCCAGCGTGGAGTTCCTCCCACAGGAGACAGACCTCCATGAACTTCTGCAATGTGAATCCTTCCCATGGGCTGCAGCTCTTCACAAACTGCTCCAGCATGGGTCCCTTACATAGGGTGCATGGTGTTCCTTCCTTCAGGAACAGACTGCTCCAGTGTGGATGCCCCACAGGGTCACAAGTCCTGCCAGAAAACCTGCTCCAGTGTGGGCTTCTCTCTCCATATGTCCATAGATCCTGCCAGGAGCCTGCTCCAGCATGGGCTTCCTACAGAGTCACAACCTCCTTCAAGCACCCACCTACTCTGGCGTGAGGTCCTCCAGGGGCTTTAGGGGAATCTCTGCTCTGGTGCCTGGAGCACCTCCTCCCCCTCCTTCTTCACTGCCCCAGATGTCTTCAGAATTGTTCCTCTCACATAATCTCACTCCTCTCTCCCAGCTGCTGCTGTGCAGAAATTTTTTCCATTTCTCAACTATTTTATCAGAGAGGCACTACCCCTATTGCTGATGGGTTCAGCTTTGGCTGGTGATGGGTTCGTCTTGGAGCCTGTTGGAATTGACACCTTCCAACACAGGGGCAGCTTCTGTTCTTTTTTTCATGGAAGCCACCCCGGTAGTTCCTCCCCCTTCCCTACCAAAACCTCATCACATTAACCCAATGCAATGAAATTTTTACACTCAAGGCGTGTCACTTCCTCAGTGAAGTACTCAGTGGCCCCAAATAGCTCATGAGCCACATATTATCTGGGATCCTTTTGCGTAGGACAGTGGCAGTTCACACCCAGGTGCTCATCTGTTGCCTCCAAAATGCTTTCAGAGCTGCTTGCTTTCTGGCCTGTTCTGCAGGTATGGTCTGCCTGCCTTGTTTGTAGATTACTACACATCTGGTTGTATTATCTAGTGGTAGTTTACTCCTGGGAGTTGGTTTTAGGGCTTGTGTGCTATTCTTTAATTTACCATGATATTTCATTGTATGTGGTTAAGCTCATTTTTAAACCAAATAGCTCAGACAGTAGTGGTATCTGCCAGATGCAGCTAAGCAGGGAGGTTTTGCTGCCCCTTGCTGTATGAGTTACTTCAGGTAAAGGCCAGTTACTCTTATGAGAGCAACGCAGTACTGATACATTTTAGACTGTGGTAGCAGTGTTTGCTTAAGCAGCTTCCCTGGGTGTGTTTGCCCTTCTGTAAGCCCCAGGACTCTTGTGTATTTACCAGTGTGGTGGACCAAATTGTATCTCATCAGATGACTTAAGAGACAGTGGCCCAACTGAAACTAGAGTCTGAGCTGACTTAAAACAGGTTAACTTGCATTCTTATGACAATAAAGGGTTAGGCAAAATGAGACCTACAACTTCAGTAAGAAGGAATTTTGGACACGATAAGCTTCATGCTGCCAGGACACATCCTGCTTCTCTTTGACTGGCAAATAAGATATTGGAGGTAGGAGGCAATTGATCCCTTCTAGCTGCACATGCCCACTTCCTAAACACTCACACTTTCTCCCATAATCTCATTGTAAAATTCTCTCCTGTGCCTGCTCAGACATTCGTCTCACCAGTGGGATATGTACAGTGGTATGTTGATTCATACCTTTGCTAAGGAAAAAATTAAAGGATTTCGCATTTCAATTCCAATCACAGACCTATGTGTTCTTGCCACATGGCTCTCCTCAAGGACAAACAGACCCATCTGATCTGACATGTTCAGAAGTGCATGATTCATCAGCTTCTCATGCAACTCTGAAAGAACTGAAAAACACTAGACGAGAAAAGATAAAATTATGTATTGCCAAGCAAAAATTCTGCGTCTACGCCTTCCCAAACATTTTGGCAATTTAGCCTTCTCTGTACTGCAATCATGATATTAAGAAAAATTATCTCAAATTTATTTAAAAGATAGACACTTCAACTAAGCTAATTTTATAAGCTCTCTTGGGAGTCAAAGGTGAGTTCATCCTGTTTGATTAAACACCTGCTTTTTAGATAAGAGAGGTGAATCCACCTACGGTATTCAGAGTGGCTAACTCCAATTTTAGCCATTTTCACATAATATGGATGATCCCATTTATGACATTTTAAGATACATTTAAATTTTAATAGGATGCACATTAGCTGTTTTAAAAATACTTCCATTTCAGTACTTTCCATGGGAACTCTCAAGAAAGAAATCTGTTGTTATTATTGATGAGTTTTTGCTGATCTCTATTAGACTGCATACCCAGCACTCAGATTCTTTCAGAGTGGTCCCTTGAAACATGATTGTTTTCAGTTTAGGACAACATTGAAAGTAGTTCGATTTTAGTGAGCTCTGTCTCTGTAACTTAATTTAAAAAATCAAAGGCTTTCAAAACATTTTGTCATTGTACATATTAGTACATGTTTTTGCAGGTAAGATGCACACTTTTGTAAATCAAGTTACACATCAGTTGTGATAAATCTTCCTGCTTTTATGAAAGAGACTTCTTTGATGTACGTGACTTTTGTCTTGTTATAGCTGAAATATTGTGGTGTCAATACTGGAAGTGAGTTAACTGTGTTCATTTATATGCAAGCTATATTTTTAATTGCTATTAATTATTTTTAACATTCACATTTGTATGTTTGTCTTGGACTGCTGCTTGGAGAGAAAGTCATAATGGGTTATAGGGCAGTTTGATAAAAATTGGATATTTACCAGAAATAATGGTTCCATAATTTGTCTTTCTAGGGTTCTCTGTCTTGATCTATGAAATATGAAATATTACACTCTCCTTCACTATAAAAGGTGGCATAAATACACTGAAATTAATTAATTCTGGAACTCCTTACAAAATTAAGTTTTACTCTTTGTTGCTATTCCAGTTGCAGAGTTCAGTGACTTCATCTTAGGTGAATTAAACCCAAATAGAGCATCTTCCATGTTGAGATGTTAATTTTGAGAAAATAGTTATTAAAATAAAATATATCTCAAAATGTCATAAATGGGATCATCCATATCATGTGAAAATGACTATAAATGGAGTTAGCCACATATTTTTGCTGTAGGTTTGATAGGAAGCTATAATATAAATAGCATTTGAATATATATAAGTGGGGTTTTTTACTTGCCATATAGATTATGAATTGTATCCTGGAAACACAGCAGTGTCACCTAAGAGACTCGAACAAATTAAAAAAAAACCCAAGTATTTCAAAGCACTGTGACAAATTCACATATATTCTGCTAGTAATGCTGTCTGAGATAATTGCTTAAATCTAACTTCTTCAGTCGAGCCTTAGGGAAAATGCTGTTTTCTATTTTCGTCAGCATAGTATGACATAGACAGAAGCTGTGTAGTGGCCACCAAATATACTCAGCTTTGTAAACATATAGATTCTGTCTCTTAACACTAGATGGCAGACAAAAATGGGAAAATATTTCCTTAGTTTCAGGGATAGAATGGGGAAAAATTAAATTGCAATTTGAATGAATGTTTACTGAAAGTTCTCAATAAGAATTAAGACCAGTGAACACATGACACAAATATCATGCTTATAACAGCATGGATGCTTTCTGCAGCCTTTCATTTGGCTGTGGTTTTTGGCACAAACACTGAAAATAACCAAGTAGAATATTTCTACATTATTTTCATATTGCTTTTTTATCTCTGTTACTTCCCTTCAATATTTTGCTCTTGTGAAAGAACTAAAAATTCTAGAAGCCTTAGAAAGGCTTAAGCAACTCAAATAAAAGAGAAGCTTACAGAGAAAACTGTCCTCGACAGGTGGTCACATAGTTGTGAAATTGCCTTCCAAAGTGAAGACTTATATTGTAACTGCTTTGTGTCTTTGCCTTACATCGGTTGCCTAAAGTAATTATGGTTCCTTTGCTCCTTATTGTCATTGAATCTTGGACAATAGTATGGAAGTAACCTGTTTGCTAAGGAGGCAACTCTTTTCATAGAATATTATAAATTGTTGTACTAAATATTATGTAATCAGTTCACCTAATAACCAGTGAATATTTTGGGTTGTTACCCCCTTCCTCTTCCGGAAATATCCACCAAAAGAGCTGTGGCGGAACGGTCAGAATCCCCAAGATTCTGCATCCCACACTGAATCCCACGCCAAAATGTCAGTCCTTCTAGCTAACAGCGATGTGCATATACCATACTAGAACTGCA